GTAAAAATAAATACAAGAAAATAATTTGTTTCTTGTCTTGAAACATTAAATGTACATTAAATTGGAATTATGTAAATATGTTCTTTAATTAAACACTGTAAAAGTGACTGTTCATCAGTGTCATTATAAAAATGATCAGAATAATTTCTATCAAATAAAAACATTGTGCTCTTTATTCAGAAATGCCCCAAAACAATTAAATAATCACATCAAAAGCTAGAAACTCTGTCTTTAGTAATTTCTTTGATTACCTAATATATTAATGTGTGTGAGAAAATGTGTCAATGACAGGAATTAATTTAAAATACTTTGTAGAACGGCACTTTGTGAAGTTCGGTCCATTTACTTGTATTAGCTTACTGGCACATATTCCACATTCAATATGGCGGACGCTGTGACGTATCGCAGCAACGGGCCGACCCGCTCCATGAGGCGTCTACGTATTTATGTCTATGGGAACTGTCTTGTTGCTCTAAAGGGAAGTTAAAACTTCACTCCATGAAGTGCGGTATCCTCTTTGCTTCTCTGTCGTCTTCGTAGCACATCAGTGACTTTTGAAAGAGAAGCAAACGCTACTCCGTCATGCAGCTCGGCTGAATGAAGCGCCTTTAAGGTGAAGCTTAAGGAGCTTTTCGAGTGTTTATATTTCAAAACAGAACCACATAGGGTGAATTTTGCATTTCAAATCGGACCAAGTCTGGACCGTTTCTCTTCACCGATATGGCCTCCATCTTTGTTTCTGAATCAATGGCTCCGCTTAGGGATGACCAGCGGCGCCACCTGCTGGTCGGCGGCCACGTTACAACACAAAGTATAAAAGCTGAATGTTCTTAAAGGTCCGGTTGTGCCAAAATGTATTGAGAAAACCCATTAAACTGTTAAAATAACAATAAACATCTGTTTGTTTCAGCATTCAGTAAGTGATTCTTAAAATTAAATAACAATCAACATATTTTCATAAAGGTCAGTCCATTTGGTGATTGTTTTTGTGTTTGTTTTTTTATTGCGATCAAAATCATAGATTTTGTGACGCTAAATTAGAAATATTTGTAAGGAATATTTATGATCTTTGCGCAAATGTATGATGTTAAATGTGACTTTTTATTAATTGCCGTACAACTTGACATCAAGTAAGGCTGATGGTGGGTTCACACCAAAACCGTTATGCTCGTCTGGTTTACATTCAAAGTCCATGTGGAGGCTCGTAGAGGCGCGTCAGACGCGTCAAAATCGCTGTAGCTGTTGTTTTTCGCTGCCGGCCTATTTGTTGGACGCACATGACGCATCAAAAGCTCCAAATGTGCCGGAACGGGCCCTTGATGCGCCTCCGCATGGACTTTGAATGTAAACCCGACGCGCAAAATGTGTTTGATGTGAATGCAACCTAAGGCAGCAGACACTCTTTTTAGCCAATGTTGAGAAAAATCTGCGGTTAAAATCTGAAAAAAATGTGGGGATCTGTTGATTTTGTGTGAATTTTGTGGATTTGTGTCACTGGAGGAACTTATTGATGTAATTTGAAGTCTAGAGGGCCACACAAAAGGCTAACGCGCCAGACTTGACACATGATCTCAGTGGACATTTTTAATTTACCAATTTGAAGTGGGAACTAATTTTAATCTAATAAATCGTTAATGGACATCCCAGGTGAGAAGTGACCTGTTAAAGTTTGTAAATGTGGTCAGACTGTCAAAGGAGGCAGAACTTCCTCAATTGGCCTTGATGAGTTCTTCGAGTACCGATGCCAACAGATGGAGGGACTTTCAGTGAAACGTCTCTCTCTTTGGATGACGTCACATTAAACTCAAAGTGCCATCTAAAACGCCCTAAATCTTAAAACATCTCCAACTAAAAGCCCTGTGATGTGTTTGTCTAAAGGGCAACTGCAGAAGCAAACAGCACACCAGATGGTACTTGAGAACAGCGTGATGTGAATTGTGTTGAGCTTTGGCTCAGCTGACTGAAAAGAGCGAGCAGAAGGAAGGCAGAGTGCACAGCAAGCTGTAAATCTGCAGGTTAGCGTGTGTTTGTTTGTGTGTTTAAGCCATGTGGGTGTGGAGCATCGCAGCCCTGCCAAGGTTTACAACCTCATATCAGGGCTGATTTACAGGCTTCTAAACAAGTGGACTCTCACGCTGTACAAATATGTGTAGAAACTGACTTTACAAGCTTGTTTTTGCACAAATGTAACGAATCCTAAGCATAACTAATAAGTTTAATAGCAGCTCCATGCCTTTTTTCAGTAAAGCTGTTAAAAAGGTTCTTAAATGTTTAGTTTATGCATTGATTACATTCTTAAAATGCAAAATGGAGATGATTCCTTCTGAGGTCCATGACAAAACCTATGCATATTTAATTACCAAATTAATAATTGACAAATGGAGCAAATGCAGAGCAGAGATCGGTATGCGTACGACTGAATTTACATGCACAATGGGGTGAAAAAGTATGTTCTCCTTATAGATTTCTTCTGTTTTTGCTTTTTTTTAATCACACTTTAATATTTCAGACCAGACAAATTTTAAATTTGGATGAAGATAACTTCATTAGGAAAAAGTAACAGTTAAAGCAATTAACTGAGATTAAACTACTTTTTTGAAGACATTTTAAAACAGTAGAAGAACAAAAGGTGTCCAGCTGTTTATTTACAACTTTAAGGCTTTATGTGCAATAAGTCATCTTTGCAGAACTTCACTTCCTTCCTTACTGACTGCTGGAAGCTCAAGGAACTGCCTGATTATGACACAACTCCATCTACAGCTGCAGTATGTAACTTTTATTAAAAAAAAAAATATATATATAAAAAAGAGATAATTCGTGAAAAAAATCAAACTCCTCTTGCCTTCCCCAAGTCCTATCAAGAAACAACCAATCAGAGCCAGGAGGAGGGTGTTAGCGCTGTCAATCACTCTTATTGTGGCGTTGCTCATCCCCATCTGTTCCTCCTCTCCTTCCTTTCTGTTATGAATGCTAAGGCTAGTTAGCATGGCTACAGATGTCGGCGAATAAACGGCAAGTTGTTTCTCCAGCGTTACCACATTTAGCAGTGAGTACATGAGGATGATTGACAGCGCTGAGACCCTCCTCCTGACTCTGATTGGTTGTTTTTGGTGTATTTCTTCAGACAGCAATAGCAGCTCAGGAAGGAGGTGGAGGAGATCGATGTTTTCACAGATTATTTGTCTTATAACAAACTGTCACAACATGGTGACAGTTTCAACAAATATGTAAAAAAATTATACATTTTATAACCCAAGACGCCGCTGCACATGCTCTTTTCCTTACAAACATACCCATCTCTGGTGTGGTTGTGGACTAAATATCTTTCAAATTGGACATTTCCTGTCGGGTTCATAACAGTTTGTAGAAAAGGACAAAAACAATGTGCAGATGCAGGGTTGAGTCACAACTTTGAGTTTTTCCCTCATGATTCAGGTCCTAAAAGTGGTCTCAAAATGCCATTTGCAGAATTTTTGTTTTGAATTGTGAGCATTCTTATTTAATGACTGAATTACAACAAATAAATTAGTCAGATAATAACCTTTACAGGACTTCACTGAGGTATAACAAGCAGTGAGCAGTAAATTATTGCACATGGCAGCCCGTTGCTGTACCTGCAGGCCGTGCTCCCAGTCGTCTCGTATGAAAACGTTTTCCAGCTCGTGGTTGATTCCCTCCACGCTGCTCGGCACTCTGCATATCAGCGACTTGGGCATCGGGTTTGACGTGAAAGTTGAAGAAGTTCCCTTGTGCTGGAAAGAAACATAACACTGTTTGAAGGTGGAGTAATGATTTAGACATCTTGAAATAAGACAAAAGTAACTTACAAGTAACGTCTCAGCACAATATTGCTATAATTTATTTAAAATTGATAAAGTTTATTTCCACTGGCTGATTATTTCACTTATAACATGAAAAAATGTTGTTAGAAAAAACAATGATCTACCAGTGGAAATAGTACTTTTTAGATCAATTTTAAAGGAATTATTGACTTAAACCAAGCTCCAATATTTAGCTTAAAAGTTACTTGTAAATTAATTTAGTCTTTTTTTCAAGTGCACTGAGATATTTTCACTAAAGAGACACGACTGGATGCAACCACAACACTGCAAAACACAAAATCTTACCAAGTATTTTGTCTAGTTTCTAATGCAAATGAGACAAAACAAACTTACAAGTAACTTTTCAGTGATTTAAGTAAATAATTCCTTCAAATTGATGAAAAAAAGAATTAATTATTTCCTTTATAAAATGGGAAAAATATCTTGTTATAAGTGAAATAATCTGTAGTACTTCTTAGTTAATATTAAGGGACTATTTAAGCAAATAAACCTCATATATCTTGCTGAAAAGTTACTTGTAAGTCAGTTTTGTCTCGAGATATTTGCACTAGAAACTAAACCAAAAATACTTGGTAAGATTTTGTGTTTTTGCAGAGAAGTAGTTTCAGTTAAACAGAACAGAGTTGTGGTCATAAGCATCAGTATTCATGCTGTGTTTGTGCAGCAGAACAGCATCTCTTTTCCTGGGTCTAATGAATGAGCTGCAGCTCAGAGGAAGACATGCCCAGACACATTTCCCTCCTCTGCCTCCGTTTGACCTCCAAGATCAACTTCTCGTGTTTAGGAAAAGTCAACTCAACTGCATGTTCAACACATAATAAATCATGATATTTAATTAACACACAAATCTAAACTACATAACACTAAATATAGATGTTGTTGGCTTGATGAAAGCTTAAATAAATATGGATTTAAAGGTATAAAATGTAGCTACACTGAACTGTTTACTCAGTTTTCTAATCTCCAGCAGCTGTTATAGGTTTGTAACCGTCCGTTTCGTTTGGATGTTTTCCTCCAAACTGCTAAGCTCCCTTATCATATCTGTGTGGCCTGTGTAAAATCTTGCACCACCAAGTTGAGTTAATGATAATGTTTTCCCCCTAACGGAGCATGACGGCGTGCGTGACATGAGAAGCCTACCTGTGATTGGCACGCGGCGCTGTGCTGCTGCGGCAGCTGCTGCAGGGAGCTCTGCTCCCTGTCTTTGCTCTGCCTGGTCACCTGCTTGCTGCGCTGCAGCTGCAGGCGCAGCTTAGCGATCTGCTGAAGGTGAAATAAGACGGAGACAGTAAACCAACAAGAAAAGCTGTGTTAAACGTCACACCGACTGCAGTTTCCTGGCCGATCACCGATTACTCATCTTTAACAAACCTGACCTGCAGACTCTGATTTTTGTCTGAAATGTTGCTAAATGTAGCAAGAAAGACGTTGAGTTGGCAACAGTGGGGTGACTATTGTTAACTGCAGACATGAGCAGGTGAGCCGGTCTGTTAGACAAACCTGCAGAAGAGGACAGTGGTTGGTTTTTAGACCTTTGCATGGAAGTATCAGCCGATCACCCAAAATAAAGAAAATCGGTGTCAATAAATTGGTGCCCAGTTCGTCACACGCATCCAAATATTTAGGATCAGTTAAAAATTTATTCTGCAACAGTTGATGTATAAATTACACATTTCTTTACTGCAGCTGCTTTTCTGTTAATGTTCAATAAAATCTTTGTTTTCTTATTCAAAACAATTATTTGCTTATTTGCATCTTTTAATGGTGTTTCCAATATTGTGTCAAAAAGGCTTAACTGGTTAAATGAATATTTTTTACCTGATTGCCAAAATAATCGTTTAACAAAATACGATGAGTGCTTTTGCATTCTTCTGAAAAGATTTACTAAAACAAACTCGACCTGAATGCAGCCCTGCCACCGCAACAAATTTTTCTGAACCAAAAATTTCTCCAGAAGTTACTGCAATAAACAGTAATGTTGTTTCGAGACAATTTTCAAGTAATATAATGGTAATAATGGCATAATAATGCAAGAACATACTAAAATAAACTTTAAAAATAAAACAAAATCAATAAACTTTAAATTCTAATGAACATTTAAAGCTATAACATTTTAAATATCCAAAATAAACAAACAAAACAACAGAAACAAATAAAATCAATTATTAAGTCTCTGTAAACAAAATTGTTTTTAAAAAAAGAGATAGTTGAGACCATAGTGAAGACTTCTATCATCCAGTTTTTGTAGAACAAGAGAGAAAAGAGAAAGACCACAAATCATTGATCTTGTTTAAATTTATCATGTGATTTATTGCTTATTGCAACATGAATAGTTGAATGTTGCTGCAACACTTCCAGAGTCAGTCTGCTGATGAAATGAGTTGGGTCAGTGGGTGTTGCTACATCTGGCCGAGTAAAAAAAAACAGGATACCCTTTGTAAGACTAACAGACACAGTTGTGCTGTGCAGACAAAGGTGTGGTTCTTCAGCGCAGATCTTGTACTCCAGGCAACACAGTCAACAAAGAGACGTGCTCCTTTCAGATGTCCTCCCACTCGTTAAATTGCAGAGGTTAGAGAGCAGGAATCCTGCTGCCTGCACTCGCTTAGTGGAAGCAGTCGATAATGACAAGTACAGGCAGCCCGGGTGTAATCTTAGTTGATGGGAAAAGAGAAATTTTCCTGGCTGTGCTGAGCTATTGATTTCTAGGCCAAGTTGTTCAGGGATTGTCTGCAGAACAGTGAATGCAACATTTTCCAGGCAGGTCAAGTTATAAAGTTAGAGGTGTGCTTAACGGTGATTTATGAAATAAGGGCAAGTCAGAGGCCAGAAGCTGCTGCAGATGCATTTCATAAAAGATTTCATAACTTGTTTTATACCTGCTGTGTTGCTCTGACAGTTTGCTTAATTACAGCTAAACTGGAGCTACTGCTGACTTCATGTACTGCAAAAACACAAAGTCTCACCAAGTATTTTCTATCTAGTTTCTTAGTGCACTTGAAATAAAACAAAGCTAACTGAATAGAAACTTTTCAACAAAACATATGAGCTTGGTTTAAGTAAATTATTCCTTATTTTTATCTAAAAAAGTTCTAGATCCACTGGCAGATTATTTCACTCATCAAATAGGAAAATGTTTTGCTATAAGTGAAATAATCCAGTGAAGTAGCACTTTTTCAGGAATTATTCGCTTAGACTGAGAAATATTGTGCTGAAAAGTTATTTGTAAGTCAGTTTTGTCTTACTAAGACCAAACATATTTGGTAAGAGTTTATATTTTTGCAGTGTGGAGCGAAGGTGGAGCTCTCTACAAAGAAAAAAAAAACAAAAAACGATCTGCTGATTTTAAAACGGGGAAAAAAGCAGCCCTCCTTCAGTGTGGATACTCAATACTGTCTGAAAAACAACAGTCCATGATGAGATACACACAGTGCAGCCGTGCGGAGAACAGAGCAGGGTAAATTTAGCCTGTGGTCTGGAGGCCTGGAGTCCATGTGGTCGGCCGGACGGCCTGCCAAGGCCAGCAGATAGACAGGAGTGGAAACCGACTTTAAGGAGGGTAATATTTAGGCTGACCTCAGACTCTGACAAATAAAAACACACTTTAAGTAAATGAAGAACCTCAAGAATGACAGAAACATTTTCTTTACCCAGCTGTGTGGATATAATGACGCGTTAGCTGTGAGCAGCAGCAGTGACCGGATCATCTGGGAGGTTGAAGAAGGGAAAGTACCTCTTTCAGATGATCTGCGCTCCCCCACGACGCTGATCGCTGGTGAGGACTTCCCAGTTCGGCAGCTTCGTCGATCCAGAGACCTGGAGTCTGAGAAAAATAAACAAAACAAAGTACATTACACGGCATCGAGTCAAAATTAAGAGTTTTTAAGACCTTTTTTAATACCAGCTTGAACGAAACTTAGGCTGACGAGACAATAAATATACAATATAAGTGACCCAGTGGCAAAAACAGTTGATACATTTGCACTAATTTACCTGTGATGGACGCTAAAAATAGCTAAGTAGCTAACTAGCAACCGTATATTAGCAGATGGTTACAAACCGCCTCTGCAGAAAAATCCTGCAAGAATAATTAAAAAGAACTGCAATAGTCCAGGCAAACAAAACTTAAGACCTGTGATTAACGTATTCAAGACCGACTTGCATGTTCTTAAATGAATTTAAGACATTTTAATGCTTAAATTCGTGAGTTTAAGACTTTTTAAGGATGTGCAGTCAGCTCATGTTATCAAAACTTCTTGCACATCTCTTGTTCCCACCAAGTTGCACCTTTTCTGCGGAACAGGCCGACAGATTTGAATACTTTGTGCAATTAAAAATGGGTGGAGTGCAAGTTTCTGCATCTGGGTGAAAGTAAACCAAAAGACTTGTTCACATTTGATTTAACTGCCTGTACATGAAATGCAAAATTCAAATACTCATAAACCCAAAGAACAAATGTTTGCAGCTGTTTGAAATCTACAGGAACACCACGAAAAACTCTGAAAATTGCGTAAAAGTGCAATACGTTTACCAATCATCTTAGAAATGTGGAACTTGTGTGTTATGTAGAATCATCACATATAGAGTGATCAAGTTTTTGTTACTCGTAATTTTTATAATTTATAGCTTATAGATAACAAAAACCCAAAATTCAGTGTCTCGGAAAATTAGAGTTGGAAACTCCTGGCGTCACTCCCTAATCAGCGAATTAACTCTAGAGACCTTAAGATTAAATTTAAATACAACTGCATTGTTTTTTTAACAGCTTTTCAACAATAACTTAGATATGCAATATTTTAATGAAAGTTGTGGATTTGTGCAGAAAATCTGCATTTTAAGTTTGTTTTTTGGTATAGAAAATAATTATTTTGTCCACTTTTCAGCAAAAAGAAGAGGTTGTGGATCCCCTTCTGGTCAGAAGTCTCCATTTAAGTAAAAGATTGGATATTTGTGGTTCTACTTACTATGAAAATAAAAAAGCAAGGATTAATGTGATTAATAACAGATGAATACTTTTGCTTTGCACCTAAAGTTTTGCATTTAAAGACTGTTTAATTTACCGTAATCATAAATAATCTCACCCAAAATATCTTAAACAGTGTTTCATCTGCGCGAACCACCAAATGTGGATCATTTTGAAAACCATTCTGAGGCCTCCAAATGGCCCACGCGCCACACTTTGCACTCCCCTGATTTAAGGCCTGAAACAGAAACTCCATTTCAACCAAAACTAAACTCCAAGAGTCTAAAATGTTCAGAAAAACCCATCTGAAAGCATTTAACAAGTGGTGTGTGTTTCAAAATAAAGCTGCATACCTGGAATCAATGAAAATAAGTACAGCAGTCCCTGAGGAAAAAATCTCTTAAACAAAAACTTTTTCCTTTTTTTCCCTATTGCGAAGCAGAGTTGCACCAAACTGTGTTGCAAGACACTGAGCTCACATATTTGTCTTCTGACGAGAAAAACACTCCAAACAAAATCCACACATTCAAAGAGCATTCATGCTTACTTGCCATGAAGACATCTCTGTTAGTTAAAGGTGACATAAAGTTTCCGTCTTTATGCTCTTTCACCTTCAGCATACAATCCAGAAATTATCCACCAATGCTGACTCTAGTTACAACTGCAGGCGTATCAAAGCTGAATGAGCCAAGCAATAAACGTTGAGATGTTTGTAGATGATTACAGAAAATCAGCTGATAAACGGGATTTCGTCCTAGAGAGCATAGAGATAGTTCTGTCTCGATGAACTCGCCTTTTCGACCTCTGCTGAAAGAAACGAGGCAACGGTTAAATTATGTAAATTAATGCAAAACCAGAAGCAGGGAGCGGATCTTTCATTGGCCTGCAGAAACCACATACTTCCCCCTGATTGTGTCTATCAGCAGCGGCTCCGCTCTGACAACACGAGCACAGCGGCGCAACACATCGTAAATGTCACCGCCTTCGCCCTGCCTTATGCCCGACTCCGCACAAACAACATCTTCTTTCTCTAAACAGCGCAGGGTGATATGGAATATCACCCTGCGAATAATGACGAACACCGATGGAGCTGTGTGAGCCGGCGCGCTGGCCACGGCTCCCCCAGAAAAGGACACACATTAAATGGATGCTTGTGCTCTCGTAAAAAGGGACCTCTGTGCTTGGCCGCGCTGGATGGCAGATGTGTAACTAGCCTTTAGCATTAACATTTCGTCCATGGCTTCTGGAATGACTTGTGCAGTTTGAAGTTTCTGCCAAACATTCAGGAACTGGAAGCTGCAGTCGAATCTGTTCTTAGCCGATGCAAATGGCTAGAAAGGGCACAGTGGCTTCACACAGTTCACTGCTGAGGAAAAAAATAAAGTTTCACTGGCAAACTGCATCAGAAATACAGCTTTAACACAAGGCATCTTTAAAACCTTTCATGATTTAAACAACTCTGAAAGCTAAAGATCTGAAGCATCTGTCTGGATTTACAATCTGCAAACTGGAGCCGCAAGTGGCTTTTAACAGCTGGTTCAAAATGTTAAGGAATCAACTAATGTTTTTAATACAAATCTGATAACAAATGTTGTTTAAAGCAGTTTTATCATGTAATAGATATTTCTTTCATGACAACAATCACACTAATATTACAAGATGCTGTTTTAATGTGAAGCATAGATGTATCTTTAAACTTTCTATGATTTAAACAACTTCAGTTGTTAAAGATTAGGTGCATATTTCTAGATATGCAAACTGCGGCTCTGGAGCCACAAGTGGCTTTTAATAACTGGCTTAAAATGATAAGGAATCAACTAATGCTTCTAATATAAATCTGATTACAGATGCTGTTTAAAGCAGTTTTTAATCATGTAATAAATATTTATTTCATGACAAAAATCACACTAATATTTCAAGCGGTGTATTAGATATATTTCTTGTTATTAAGTTGTAAACAATATATTTGCTGCAGTTGAATCAACGCAAATGGCTAGAAAGGCTTCACACTGCTGAGGAAAAACTAAAGTTTCACTGGCAAACTGAGTCTACTTTCATCAGAGATGCAGTTTTAATGCGAGACATAAATGTATCTTTTAAACCTTTTATGATCTGAACAACTTCAGTTGATTTGGTTCATATTTCTAGATATGCAACCTGAGCTTCTAGATCAGGGAGTCAAACTCATTTTCATTTTGGGCCAAATCAAGATCATGAATGCTCTTAAAGGGCCGGTATGTATGATAAAACCTGTTAAAATATCAATGAATTTTTAAAAATTAAACAATATTATTTAACATCTTTTCAGTCCCTTCAGGATTTCGTATTTCTGGCACTAATTTGGAAATATTTGCACTTATTTATGACGGTAAATGTGACTTTTATTAGTCGCTGTATAGATCTTGGACTTTAATCTCAGTTCAGTTAAAGCTGAAGCAGCCGTTTAGTACAAGTAAAAGTTTTTGACAATTTCTGAGAAAAATCTGCTGTAAACTCCCAATTATCTATTAGCGCAAAAAAGTGTGGGGATTTGTTGATTTTGAATGAATTTCCACAATAATTCTCAAGAAACTGGAGGTCAATTAATAATATCAAAATTATTTATTTGTGCATCTTTTATTCAGACTTTGTTCCATTTTATAGAATGTTTTTTTTTTAAATCAATTACTTGGGTCACATTTTTGGATTTCCTGCACACATAAAGCACAGCTGCGTGAGGTTTCACCAAAGTTTCCTATCAAAGCATCTGATCAGCTTCGATGTGAGAGGACAAAGTGCTAACGTGTTTATTGTAGCATGCGACAGTAACGGTTACATCATTCATTCATTCCCAAGCTTTTATTTAACATCTACATCAGTGGTGTCCAAACATTTTGCATCAAGGGCCAAAATTCCCACGTTGAAATTATTCAGGGCCAAAATTTCAATTAAAACACAAAAATATTGAAATGAATTTTTTCTCAATTACCTGCACAACAGACATTTGCCTAAATGTTTAATTATTTACCTTTTTGGGCTTGTTACTTTCCATTTTTTAAGTCTACGAAACATTTTTAAGCTTATTTCAAATGTAATTTTTTTGATATTACAGATTTTTTTTTAACTCAAAAATATTTATGCTTTGAGTAAAAACCTCCTTGATATTATTGGCACGACTTAATATAATAATGAAAAAAATACTCTAAAAACGTCTTTGTGTTGTTCTTAACATTTTCAGTTTTAGAAGACAAACTAAAAAAAAAGTACAAAAACTGTTGAATGGCCAAATTTGTGGCATTCTTGAATTTAAGGTCAGGGGCCACACAAAATTAATTCAAGGGCCACAAATCGCCCCCGGGCCACATTTTGGACACCCCTGATCTACATGATCCAGTTGACTCAGATTTACTACGTCAACAACAAAACCTTGGCAGATGACAAACAACTTCCTCATTCTGTCCCCAATAGAGTCCAAAATACCGATGATCAGAGAAAAGACTGAAGCCACTGTTTTAACCTGTTTTAGCAAAAATAATAAATAATGAAACAATGGACCCAATCTTACCAACCACATGACGTTTAATACGACATCAGTCATCTTTAGAACATTGCCAGGGTAAAGGGTTTCCTACCAACGCCTGGTCAAAAAGCTCACATGCTTTTAGTTTTAGTAGGTTAGATAATTGAGATGGTCTATAAAGCAGTCGCTGGAACTTATCCAAAATCCTGTCTGAGTCCTGACCAGGAAAAGAAATCAGTCAGAAAACCTGACAAGAGCAAAACCTGCTGGTTTCTTCAAACCAGAACCGAGAACATTATGGTTTACTGTAGCTTTCCTTCAGAGGCAGAACACTGCTGCGTCATTGTGTTAAATTTGTATT